CCTGTACGGATGCAGAGGGGCCCCGCCCTTTTTCCGGCTTCCTTGAAGCCGACACCCAACTTGTCTGTGAACGTAGCCGTTTGTGGACAACACTTACGAGGCCAGCCCTCTGCCTTGACGGCTCGACTTTTACCGGTTTTTGTTCTTTTGTTCTGACTGCTGCCAATGCCGTACAATACGGGGTGCGCGTAATTGATGCTAGGATGCCAGGATGCCGAGTATAGGATCCCGATTGCGTTTTGCTTGCCTAGCTTGCGAAGACCTTTTGGCGGTGTCTGTGTGCCCCTGTGAGGAACCTCAAGTCTGTAAAAGGTCTCGACAATGCCAAAGTGAATCCGGAGTGTAATCCATACCCGGGGGCCCCCCGAGAACAAACATGTTTGTAAATCAATCAAGGTGCCAGCAGCACCTCCCCAGCAGCGCCACCCCAGCAGCACCTGGAAAGGTATGACGAGTCGTAAATGGTCGGATGGGCAGATGTCAACTTCACCTAATGTTTTGCTCTAGGAGGGAAGGTGTCTGGTGCGTACGACAGCTGTCGTGGATCGCCGGGGCGTCGTACACGCACGTGCATTTGGTTGACGTGAGATGATAATCATGGAGGTCATGAACAATATTACGGCCGTCAACAATCTAACAATCCCTGGTTGACTCCTGTTGCCTTATTGATATAATGTACGACTCTGGTGTAGCGCTGCGTAGTTCACGGATGCCGTACATGTGAACATGTTCCCATCTCGACAAGGAATAGTCTCTCTCACTCTCTCTCTCTCTCTCTTATTACGTTACGTTACGTTACGTTAACGCAACCTCTGCTGCCTCACAAAGGAAAGCCTCAACACGGCGCTGCTGGCTGCCGGGTACACATGTCAGTAAACAAAGGGGCATATTTCATAATATCATCCTCTATATCAACAATAGTCCGGTAGTCAGCACCGATTGCGGCACTTGGTGCGGCTGCAAGGTATACATACATGGGTCGAGCAGGAGGGGGCCTGTGCGACGATCCATATTACTGGAGGGGTGTGGCTGGGTAAGCTAGGTCAACCTGATGCGTAAGCCAGGTTCCTGAAGCTTGTTTCGGCCACAAGGTGGTGAAGGAGGTTTGTGAGGAAGGTTTACGCAAACGTTCGCAGTACTTTCCGTTTCGCTTCGGTTAACTTGTCCAACGGTTGCGCATGAATTGTGTGCTTATGATTATTATTATTATTATACATATAACTGTCAACGACATGGCTGCCACTATAGAAATCTCCTATTGTCTTACTGTGCATTAAGATTGATCCGCAACCTTCCACGATCTTACGGGACACAAAACCGGAGGATAGGCAGTGATGGTTAGGAAGAGCGTAGGGCGGCTGTGTAAAGTGCGCAATCCTAGGTGCATCAGTTACTGTATCGATAATCCCATAGATCCCAAAAGAGTATCTACGCAAACCGAAACGTCTTCTTAGCCTTGTATGTATCGCACCATAATGACTAGGAAAACCGCGTTTTCATGTATCTTCCTAAAGCACATCTTCAGTTAGCTAGGTGTGCACTTGGTGCGTCACATCGAAGAAATGAAACCCAACCTGGTCGGTACGCAATATGCAGCACCCGCTGCATCGCCGTATGCGTGACAAAATAGAGTGAAAAGCCTATGGCGACTACCTAAACGTGATCGAAGGTATGTTAGGCTCCGAGTCCGTCGTGAGAACTGCCGGCTACACCGGGACACTGTGCTGGGACAGTTGTTTCATTTTGCTTATAATTAAGCGTGTAAAGATGGTGTTTCATGCATGCTGTCGCTTCCCAGATGAGGGTGATGGAGTGATCAACCCGCGGAATGCACGTATTTAATAGGGCCGGAATCCTAAGAATAACACTTTTAGACAGTACACTAGTGTATGGAAGATACTAGCTTCTGATTTATGAAAATAGCTCGTTAAAGATGCATTCGATAGGTTCGAAACCCCGTAGGCCCTATACAGCAGGTACGTGACAAGTGCTGAAAATGCCTGTTATATCATGAGTCCTCATATAGTTTAAAGTAAAGTCATATTGAGCTGCTGGTAATACCTTTACGTGCAACTGCGAGCCGGGCCCTTGCTGTTGTAAAAGCCATGTCGTTCGCCACAGCTCGGGTATCAGAGATAGTTGGGCGAAATGTAGAAAAGATTCCAAATCATAAACATATTCCAGGCCCTCACACCCACACAGCGCTTACTACTGCGACAGCAGATGCCAGCAGCTACGATGATGCACCTACTCGAGATTGCAACCCGCCCGGGAGACCCGACCCCTGTGGAATTGAACAACAACAATCCCCTGGAGTGTGGCCTGTAAAAGCTGAAGGTGCAGAACTGGAGGTCCCCAATGGTCGGGCACGATCGACCGTGGCCCGTCGGCCCCTCCTCGACTTGGACGTATGCCCTTCCTTTTCCGAGCAGCAGCCGGAGCGCACTAAGCCCCTCTTCCTGGACCGCCACAATACGCTACAGCTTGTGCACGAATCCCAACGGATTGGGGCCTACAGCAGCAACAGCGCCACCACCATCTCCTCCGACACTCCTAGCAGCAGTAGCAGCGGTAGCACCGGCACCAGCAATGGTGGATCGCCCGAGGCCGCCGCCGCTTCCACCGCACCCGCGTGCAGCCCCGTCAGCATTGGCGCGGCCCCTGTCGCGTCCTACCTTCCCAGCTGGAACATCGCGCGGTGAGCGGACCAGCCAGGTCATTGCCAAATCAGGATACATGGCGGCCGTGGTGTAAATCGCTCATAGCACAGTGGGCTGCTGGCGCCGCTAGCGAGCACCTGTGCATGAGTTGCAGTAGTTTTGAACCACAGAATTCACTCACTACAAAATATAAAACCCCATACACATCTCCAAAAGAAGACTCTTAGTTTACTTTTACTTTACAAAACGACCCCCGCTTCGCCTCCCTCTACACATACACAGGAGCGAATTGTGGATGTTGGCGCAAAGAGCTCTCCTGAGCAGCCTGAACATGCAGCCGCCAGGGGCACCGGAAAAGAACATCCCCGCCACCGACCCCACAGCCGCCGCCCCCGCCGCCACCGCGTTCGGCGCCACCAGCGGCACCGCCACCAAGACCCCCTTCGCCTGTATTTCCACCCAGGCAACTGTCACACAGCAGGCGCCAGGTCTGCGCAGTCTGTTCCGCAGCATCACCTCCCGACAGCGCCGCGCCTGCCCCGCCACACCGCGCGGCATGGGCCCGCTCCCCGCTGGGCCGCTGATGCCCGCCTTCACGTTGGCCTCTTTGACGGCGGCGCAGCCTAGTGCTACTACAGCCAAATCGCGATCCGGCCCCTGGGCCAGCGCAGATGCAGCGGAATGTACGGACGGGGCGACGGAGGTAGAAGAAGCGCCGCTGTCCTTGGAAGTGGACTGGGAGAACGTTCTGGTAACGGAGCCTGTCGGAATACCCCCCGCGGATCTGACGACAGCGAGGGACATGGCGGCGGACGCGGGCGGCGACGCAGCTGAACTGCACCGGGCACAAGGGCCCGAAGAACAAAAGCAGGATGATGGTGGTGGTGGAAGTGGTGGAAATGATGATTTTATTGGACGGAAGGACGAGCTGCACCCTCACTACCACCGGAAGCACCACGCTGCGTTTGCTGCAGGCGTTGCGGCGGCGACGTCGACAGCGGCGGCGGTGTCGCACACGGCGGCAGCAGCGGCGGCGGCAACGGGGGCGGCGGCGGCGGCGGGCCTGCCTGGGTTGGCCTCTACAGCGTCCATGAGCGGCTGCTCCATCCTACACATGGCAGAAAACTTGCTTGACGTGGGCGGCAGCGTGCTACTTTCAAAATTTCAGGTTGGCCAGATTCTCAAATCCCATCGCGGCCGAGCTACATTAGGTAACAGCTCTATATTTGACGAGCATAGTTCAATGGACGATATATGTGTGTGTGTGTGTGTTGGGGGGGTGTCTGGGGACGGAGGTGTTTTCCTGCACACTGCTGCCGGAGACTCAGATTCCAGGCCCTCCTCCCTCCCCACGCCAATATCTTGTGTAGCAGCATCCGTCCGTTACTCGATTTGACCTCAGCGACGTTGTTCACCCCCACCTGCGCCGCCGCCAATGCTAATGCTAATGCTGGGGCGATGCCGATGCACATACTCTTGGGGTATATAGCCGCGGCCTCGCTGACTAGTAGTCTAGTAGTCACAGCCCCGTGGTGGTTGCGGTGGTTGCGGTGCTGGGGCCCCTGACGCTGCCCCCACCGCGATCCTGCCCTCCGAAACCAGAGTATCATTATGAACACCGCCACCATGGCAGCCGCGGAGGCGGTGCTGGGTCACGACGCGCCGGCGGCTTTACGTCGCCGCCTCCGGGAGCGGCTGCGGTGCACTCTGGCCGGTGCCTCGGTGATGTGGTTCCTGCTGAACTTGCACACTACCTCCGACATGCTCGCACACCTGGACTTCGAACACGATTTCGTAACAAGCTCCAAAGTGGTGAGAGGATTGCCTGCCGCACGTGCCGTATACACGTGTTGTGCAAGTATCGCGTGCGCTCAGTAGCCCGTAAGATGCCAGTTAGTTAGTTAGTTAGTTAGTTAGCTGCCTTTCGAGCTACCACGCTTTTTTCTTCTGTGGTTGCTGTTAGAGCTTAAACGTCTTCACGAACTCGCGGTATTAGACCTCAAGCGTTTACACAGGGATGAAGGTTACGGGTTCTAGAGCCAAACATAAGGGGAGGCATGAATACTTGACGCCTAGCCACATAAATCGAATAGTGATGATACCGCCCCCGTCACTGCCCTAACCGCCTTTCCGCCCCATTCCGTGTTCCATGAACCGCCGCGGCACGGGACGCACACGCACCTCCATTCCGCCGGTGGCTATGTGGTGACGGTACGGCGGCACTTGTGGCGGTTGCGGCGGCTGGCTGGCGGAGCAGTTGCTTAATTTGGCAACTTCGGGACCTACGTTGGTTCAGAACTGTCAGGAGCTGCTGCAGCTGGGTTTTGCAGTCTCAGTTGGTGTGGGCAAACGGGCCATGAGCGGAGGCGTGGCGGAAGTAATAACGAACGAGGAACAGTTTTAACTGCCATAAACTAACCACCTATCCAAGTTTGACAGGGCATTACTAAGGATATGCAGGCAGGCAAGGCAGGAGGGGTAAATGTCCTACAGCAGAATGGATCAACAAGCCTGAAACCTAAACGCGCCACCAAGTGACCCGCCAGACCCGACCTGGTGAGGTGGTCCAACTAATCAGTCAAGTTGCCTCCCCGACCTCCTTTCTTTTTTTCCTTTCCAGTCCGGCTGCATCCTCTTAGCGCCTTTGAGTTGTGACGAGCTGAGAAAGGAGGGAGGAAGTGTCTCCGTATGTGCATATGCACGTGCTCGGTGAGCGACTTTACAATGACTTTGCAAGTAGGTTTCGGAGCGCACGGTTTAGGATGCTGCCGGGATTTCTGCGGCGGCGGTGCTGAGCGAGATGAGAGATAGGCATTCCCGGTCCTCAGGCTGTGAGAGAGTTGAATCTGGTGGCTTCAGCGAATGTCAACGGCGTGTGGATGCGCTGCTTTGTCGCGCTGCGCAAAAAAGTGTGGCACTATCGCAAAGAGAGCAAAGGTGCGCCATGATTAGGGGAGTCGCACTTATGTGCTCGGCTATAGCACATATCTCGGTCATAGGAAGCATTACACTGCGTATTTCCTCAGTAGCCACATGAGGTGAGTGATTGTGTGCTTTATATGGAGCTGTATTTCATCTTCGAGTGGTAGATAGATAGTAGACAGTGGATAGTCCTGCAGCAAGTAGATAGTCCTTAGATAGCAGGTCAAAGGCTGTGGTGGGAGGTGGCACGGCTCCTACTAGCAGTCCCCAGCAGTCAGCAGAGTGATATTATTGCTGGGGTGCCCTTAGAGTGGTTGCCGTACAAGGCCACGTGAGCGATACCGCATGCCATGCAGTACATATATACATACGTCACATACATGCATACATACATATATATAGACATACCTATAGGTCCGGGACGTCATCTAGGATAGGACGGCAACGGTTGCGGCTGGCAGGTGCTGCTCAGCTGCTGGGATGGCGATAGCTTTCTTGCGGTGAATTCACTGCAAATACATGCCCAATACATCGCGTCTCATAGTGATTTTAATCAACTGCCATTAAGATTGAGTTAGATGCTGGTATTACGAAGGGGACGGCATCCAGGCAGACGTATCACAGCTTGACGATGATGCTGGTGTAGGGGTTTAGGGCAGACGTATTACCGTCCACGGAGCGAAAATCCGGGAAATGTTGTTTTAAATTTTTGAATTGGCTTTGGCTGCATCGGCCTACGGTATTTGAGCTATACCATCCGCAGCCAGGCCGTGTGCCGTCATGGCGGTGGTCGGCGGGGGTCGGGCCCTGCGGCCCACTTCCCTCTCCCCGTCTGAAGTGAAGAACGTCCCAAGGTGGATGCGTGCTTGCAACCTTTGCAACCCTAGGCCACGACGGCTCTCGCACTACCACCACCACGACCACCTGTCGATGCCGCACATGCAAGCAAGGTACATGAGGGGGATATAGCGGTGCACGGATGCTATTTGTGTTGTTTGTGTCTGGTGCAGAGTGGCGGTAGAGATAGGGGGCGGAGAGAAGCAGCTAGGTGGAAGCCGCAGCAGGTCCCTTCCTGGACCCTGGACCCAACCTGCAAATGAGAAAGCACGGACGCAAATCATCGGCGGGGGCAATGTCCGTGCGGTGCTGCTGCTGCTGTTGATGTGGTGGTTGTTTATGATGATGTTGTTGTTGGCTCTCTGATTGACATCGGCTGTTAGGGCCGTTTGGGTGTTTCATGGCCTCTCATCGCCGACGTGAAGGAAGACTGGAAAGAAGGAGCAGTGAGTAATGAGGGCCGCCGTATGCCGTACGTTGCGAAATAGTTGTAGCGGTTAAACGGTTTAACTTAAACCTGCCCGGTCACGGAAATGCCTTCCTGGGCATTATGGGCGTTATAGCCCCAGTGCGCGCCTTCAGGGCCTTCAGAGATTTGCTTGTGCATTGTGTTACCGTTAAGCTGCCTATCGGTGATATTCTGGGGGAGTTCTCTAAGCAGCTCAATGCGAGGCGGACGTGTGTGTGCTAACACCCAATTGGGTCGACCCACCGGGGATTCCCACCGTATCTGAACTGTGGGATGGGAGCTTCTCCTCGTGGTGAGGCGCCGCGCCTAGTGGTTTGGCTCGCTCACACATTGGGGCCATGTTGCCTATGTATAGGCCACTGCACCAGGTGCGCATGCACTTCAGATACTAAGGTTGTTGGGAACTGTGTAAGCTAACGAACAGGTCTAATGGCCGCCAGAGCGTGCCGTCGCGTACCTACCGCTGGCTTTGTGACCGCATGTCGAGTAAATCGAGCATGAGCTGCATGTCTTTTGTGTGAATGCACACCAGCAGCTATGGGGCCTCCGAATGAAACACACGAAGCGGGAGCAGCCGAGGGCGCGAAATGCAAGAGTGTCGTAACTGGTAACGCGGAAGTCTTCCCCTTTTTCCGTGGTCATGTCGGCCATGTACCGCAAAAAAACGCGCTGCTGTGTATGCTGCTGCGTGAAAGTAGATCGCCCGAGTTCCACAACTAAATCCCGCACTGTACTGCACTGCATCGTATTGCAACGTAATGCACTGCAGTTCAACCATTTTCCGAGGGATTTTGGCGGCCTCCTGTGGCCAACAACAGACGCACTCGTGACCACCCTCGCGGCCAATCAATCACCCAGGGTGGGTGCCCCCCCCTGTCTACTCGGTACCTCACACTCTTACACTCTTTTGCGGCCACATATAGATGCATTTTATTGAGGAAACCGCAGTTACTAAGATGTACGGCACTGTACGACACCTCATGGCCTGTTTGGCCCCGTAGCGCCGACTGGCTGTTGGTGCGCTGGGTCCGACAGGCCCCTCAGCGCTAGAGCCGCAGCCATCTCCGCCAACTGAGTTGGGTTGTTGACCACCGGAGGGAGGGGCGGGGGGAAGTGGGTGGCCGGGGGGGTAGTGGAAGGGTTTTATTTTGGGAAGAGCTCAGGACCGGTGGGTTGTTGGGGAGTATGTATGTCGGCGGGAGTTAGGGTGTGCATTGGGGGCAGGTGGTGGTGGTGGTAGGTGAATGAATAAAGATGTGTGCTGTACGAGATCCGCGAGTCATGCGCCGTACAAAGAGGGTATTACAGCAGGGTTATAGGCGTTATGCGGCAGGGAGATAGCTAGTCCGCGGGCAAAAGTATGAAACTACCTGACGTGAGAATATCTGCCTAGCTACAGCAGAGCACAGATGCCATCAGAAGGCTGTAGCAGCAGCTGGCTACAAAAGCAGCAGTGGCAGGAGCAGTAATGGTGGCGACAGAGGGTCAAGTTCAGGCGCCGCTCATTCGCCGTCTCCCCCCTCGGGGGGCCCCCAACACAGACACGGGACAGCGTGGGCCCCGACCATCCCATTATATCGGTGGTGGGTGGACGGGCGCCTGTGTTGCCGCCTACAGCCAGTAGCCGCAACTCAATTATCCCCTTTGGGCGCTAGCCTGCGCTGATAGTGCGGTGTTTCCTTTTCTCCGTGGTTTTTTGGCGTTGAAGTATTGCTCTTGGGCCTTCGGCTCGTATTGGTAGTTTTACAGGTATGGGGTCACGCACCCCCAACCATGTAATACACACACACAACCGTAGGGCTGGGAGAGGAAGGGGGGGAGGGCGTGCGACACCGCTTAGCCCCGTGGGGGGGGGAGGAGAGCGGAGCTAGCGGACCTGCGGCTCTGGGCTGCTTAAGAAGGGGGGCCAGAGGGCCCCCTCTCGCGCACACACACACGTCCGCTGGAGAGAGACCTTAGGCGGTCTTTCCGTTGGGGCTGGGCAGCAGTCCCTGGCCCGGTGTCAGGCCGGTGGTCAGATACTTGTAGCATATACATACATACACACACGCACACACACATGCAAACACACACGCACACATACATGCAAACACACACGCACACATACACACACAGAGACACACACATACACATGTACATACACACATACATACACACACACCTGCGCCGCCGATGGTCTTGCGGATGGTTCCGGAGCCATGGCCGTTAGCACCAGTTGGTGCAGCTCGGGGAGGTAGGCGGGGGCGGGGCCCCGGGGCCAGCCAATGGCGCAACTGCGGCAGTCAGTCAGTCAAACAGTCAGTCAGTCAGTCTGTCAGTCCGTCAGTCCGTCCGTCAATCAGTCCGCCAT